AGATTAAATAAACTTTGTATAAGGTTAGAAGTTTTTCCTTCAGTTTTTCTTATCTTCTAGCTGATCAGTTTCTTATGTTTACATTTTTTCTGCGTTCAAACGTCTTATCATATTCATCTTTAGGCTATGCTTACATACTATCCGCTTGCCGACGTCTCCGCCTGCATAAAAGCCCCCGACCAGAACACGGCAGTTCAGTCTCCTGCGGTCCCGAGCAAGACATAAGACCGGATTACGCCCTGTCGCTACTTTCCTCAAGATCGGACCTTGCAAGACAGGAATCCTCGGACCTCACTGTGGATCGGACTTGGGATCAATACCCGAGGGGTATGCAAGAGCAGAACGCCTCTCAGTTAACCGTATTATATTTATTGTATTAATTATTTATTATTATTTATTTTTATATTATTTATTGTATTATAATATTGTATTAAATTTACTGGTTCAGCATACGCAAGAAGAACCGCGTGGCCGCCTTAAAGTTGTTGAAGGCGAGCCTAAAGGAAGTTCCCATAGAGAGGAGGTGCTCGAACACGATCAACTACACAAGTCGATGGCCGTTGTATTATGGAGTGAGCAGAAAGAGACCCCCATCACTACTCGACTACACTTCAACCACATTTGACAAAACTGTAGGCAGGCGATCTCACGCCTCACAATAACAAGATGACCGCTTAGGGATGGGTGGTTCTGGAGGCACCCTCTGTGGCTAGGGGTTGGAGAACGTAACGCGTCCTAATGGTCGTTTAGTCGTTCCGATATCAATGGGGTCGGGAAGCGTAAGATTGCATGAGTGTACTGAGTTCCAGATTTATGAACGCGGTATTCACTGATCAGCATTAGTGCGACACTGAACCCTTTCCCAAAGTTTTTTCAAAGGTATTCGAATGCGAAGGTGCAGAGCAGAGCACATCAGCAACGGATGCGGAAACTATCGGACTCTTCTTATGCATTTCAAAGATTTTTCAGCGTATTTGCTGTACTGTTCACAAAAGTTACGAAACTGCCAGCCGTGTGGACACCCCTATTCGGACTATTCCTCCCTGAATTCACTTTTAGTGATAAAAAAATACAACCACGTAGAGCGGCGCAGGTGATCAAGGTTTGGGCGATACTGCACTCTTCTGCATTATGCGTCGAAAAGCCGTTCAACACCAGAAGACAATAATAATTTTAATTTATAATATTTTCCTTTTCTGCTGAGTCATGTAGCCAATCCCGCTTCAGCTGTTGTAACTGACGCGTCATTGGACGCATAAAAATATGGAACAAGTAGCAATCAAAATGCGCTGGAGATTTCGGGTGTGCAGTAGGTTTTGGGACCCATTTGACCATGGACACGACTTTGCAGACTAAGTGATAGACCTTCTTCCATTAGGTAAAGCGTTGTATACCTTGATAAAGTAGGATAAGTAGAACATAAATCCTGTGAACACGAAGACACACGAAATCGAAATCAAGACACCAAAAGTGCTGGTTTCCGGAAAAACGATTACCTGGAATTAAGTTATTCAGAAGTACAGCTCAAATGGTTCCTCATTAATTTGTAGCATACTCACCATAACATCCTTTAACACAGAAAAAAATTCGCATATGCTTGTCTGTACTCCAAAAACTGAATATCGTTCTCTTTCTGGGATAGTTTCTTGCATAATCTGCGTGATTGAAGGATCTGCTATCCATAATCCTAAACAAGAAACAGTTCAAATGCCTAACCAAAGAGTAGCAAAATACAATAATATACGTAAGAAGTCAAATTTTGGCAAAGGGTCTTACCAAAACGAGCAAGTGTTATTCCAAAAAAGAACACGAGAATGGATGGGCTAAGCTCGGAAAACGGAAGCGGCGGCAACGATTCGGTAGTGTTCAACCCTCCGAAGATCGTCGATCGGACACCATCCACCCATTGCTACAACAAACACAATTTTTAGAGCATGCATTAATTTGATAATCGATAAAAAGCGAACCGTGGTTGTTAATGATGAGAAATATCCTGTCGCATTGAATGGACTTCCCGGTAGCACTATAGAGAGCGAACATAGATTAATGAATATGTTTTGAAGCTGAAAAGTCGGATATTGAATAAATATTGCACGCTATCAAACATAAAGCCTATTTCAATAAGGGGGTATGTCGTAAGATAATTTTTGCCGACTACAATACTTTCAATTTCTTTTTCAGCGAGAAGATCCCCTGGTGTGAACCATTGCTTCCAAACCCATCCCAGAGCTTCCTCCACCTATAGAATTAAAATGACTGTAGAGGGAACAATGTCCTGCGAAACGAACTCCTTGCATTGGAATAGACTCACGAAGATATTTCGACGTTTCCAACCAAGTAAGCAAGTGAGCGAGATCTTTGCGAAAAAAGGCACATCACAGTCGAACGAACAAGTCCGTAATAGAATCCAGCACGATCGATCATTCAGCGGCTACGAGACTCTTCGAAAGGTCACGAGAGTTTGAGTCAGGGTGAATAACGGTCGAGAATTCCTCGACCATGGCTCTCTACTGTGCGAGAGTAGTGCCGAGAGTGAATGTACGCGCGGAGAGCACAGACGGCTCGCGGGTGGCGAGAGTGAATTCCGCGCGGGAGAGCGTACTGAAAAGGCGAAAATCCTCGACGAGCCGTTGCCGTTTCCTCGACCGATTTTAACTGTGCTTTCAGTTTTTATTTCTACAGGAGATATTTCATTGCACTGCGGCGAAAACACGACAAAATATCCCTTTACGTCGGCCCATAAGTAGAAGCACACTTCCAGTTCCCACCGTCTTCAGAATATGACCCATTTGCCATGATCGTCTACCTCAAGTAAGCCTACCGTAATGTCTCCACCCTAGACCTGCTAAATAATTTCCTTCAATCGGTCAACTGGTGAACAGAAACAGTAGCTCTGACAGCGCAGGACCTTTACGCCCAGAGCTACAGCTAACGCTCTAATGACATGTGTAGTACCTGTCGAGGAACTCGTTGAGCAGTAACCGGGCAACATGTTCCCGTGGCAAATCCTTCTGATGTGGGCGATATACGCGAATATTATGGAGCACTCTGGTAGAATTTATGTACTCTTCAATTTCCTGTTGAAAGCGTCCGGTTTGAATTTGGCAGTTCTGTTTTGAATGTAAAGGGGAAGCCCCTTTTTCCTGATGCCCCTCCCCCTCCGTGTACTCAGGGGTTCGAATTCTGCAGCAATTTTACGACCACAATATCATAAAAGGAGCTTGCCTTCAACGTGAAGAACTATTTAATTACAAGGGCTATTTGATTATATTCGTAACTCTGAATTAATCGTTTCATACTAGAACAACGATCGGAGAACTAGCTTCTCCGACCTGCTTTCAAAGCTGTTTTCAGGGAGTCAAGCAAAGCCAGAAGCCCGGAAATTGCTCCTAATTGGGTTAGCAGTTTAGCTTAGTTTAGTGATGCTCACCATAAGCCCTATGAGACCTGTCCATAGTAATCCGAGCACTCGCTCCATAGCTGTATATGACAAGGCTCCGAGTAGACCGAGTAGAGATCCTATAGAACGGAACAGTCCGAGCGTTGATGCGGACATTCCTTGTGAAGCACCGTAAGATAGGGCGAGCTGGAATTGGAAAAATTTCTAATTTTCGTTTTCGACATGTAGATTCTTTGTATTTCTAAGTTGAATAACATTTACATTATCAAATCCAAGGACGGTCATGTACAGAAGAGCAAGTCCAAAAGCTGCACGGAATGAACTCTGCCTGAAGTATGCTGAGTATGCCGCAGCCGGTGAGGGTGTATCGTCACAAGATGGCTCCTTAGAAGTTGAATCTGAATGTATAATGATAGAGTAATCGAAACACAGATCCAAGGAATACGAATCACATCCCACGTGCAAAAGTCTACGTTCTGTTGTTTTGCTGCTTTTACACTGTATCTAACATAACCATAAGCTAAGTAGATTAGAAAGCCTCTGTCGATTTCAGTACTCCTATAGAAACGCTTCAAAGCTTTATATCTGAACTAATTGGAAGGCTCTGCTGCGGCATATACTATAGAAAGCGCTTTCGCCGTTTCTCTCTTCTTCTTCTTCTCCTTCCTAGCGTTAGTCCCGCGCAGTAGCATATCCAGGGCATCTTCCATCTCCTGTGGCCATGACTTCACTTAGGTCCTTCTTGATCACGTCTTTCCACCTCTTCTTTGGGGCTCCTCGCGGTCGCTTGCCTTGCACTTCGAAGTCCATCGCTGTTCTTATCGGATGGTCCTGTGGCCTCCTTAGCACATGCCCATACCATCGCAGACGCTGTTCCCGTACCTTCAGCTGGACAGGGGCAGTCTGCATGACCGCTCTGACATCCTCGTTTCTAACCCTGTCCAGCCGCGTCCAGCCGCAGGCCCATCTCAGCATCCTCATTTCAGCGGAGTGAAGCTGCCTTTCGTGATTCTTGTTCAGGGGCCAGCACTCGCTGCCGTAGAGCATCGCAGGCCTTACCACTGTCCGGTACACCTTCCCTTCGAGAGATGCTGAATAATGCTCTAGCGGCGAAAAAAGCAGAAGAAATCCGTCAAAAAACGCGCAAAATGGGACCCTTTCTTTGCCCGTTGACCTCCGATAATGGACGAGCTAGCAACCAATAAGAGGTCGTTTGCACATGTTAAACCGATAGCTACCATCATACAGCAAGATCATGCTTTGATTGATAACGCATTCCATGAGGAAAGTTATAGGATACGCGCTCGAAGTGGCATACCTTATCAAAATGATAATCGAACAGCGATCTGCTGAGGGGCGGAGCACAGGCGGTGGCGGAGCTCAGAAAGGATTGGCAGCCCCAGGGCGCTGCAACGAGCGCACCTTTAGTCACAAAAAGGCCACATCTCGATTCCTTTGGGCCCTGACTACTGCTTGAAGTGCTGCATGTTCTTCCATGCTGCACACGAACTTTATCGTAATCTCTCGCTTTAATTATTCATCAAACCTGCCAATCCGCTGCTTCCTCTATCAGTGAAGGCGTTAAGAAATGGACGGCAGGCGGAAGAAAAATCTTCTCAAAAACTCCCAAAATTCAAAAAAAAGTGTTACAACACCGGATTATTAAAATCGCTGGACAACCCCACAAACATTTACAAAGAGTTTTATAAATTTAGATGGTGTTATTCAAAGCACAAACCGGAACGCATTCGATGTGCGAGTGCGGGAATTCGCCGATAGATCCACAGCAACATTGATGCTTCAACAGACCATGAGAGAATATTCCAGCCGATAATCACCAGACAACACATGGATCGGCTCATAGAGTCAAGCATGACACCGGCTATGAGAGGTGTCAGAAACGAGGACGTCTGATCAATCACTGTCATCGCTGCGTTCTGTGCTGAAATGTCGAAAGATGGTACTTTAGAAAAAAAGAGCTGTAATATTATAAAGCTTTCTGGAGTTTCGAAGAGTCGAAACTTCACGTCCAAAAACTTATATGTAACCGTTAATGTCAAACTGCTTCACTTGACTTGAAACCCAATGGGTCCATATTCACTATACTTTCAGTATGGTTCGGCCTTCTTAGTGTCCGGTGGGACTTCCCTTCATCAGTTACAGGCATAACCCACAGTTGATCTGATATGAATCTTGCACACAAAATTGAAATAGAAGTGCTCCGGCGACTGGCAGCGAGTGAAAAACTAAAAAGAATCAGCCAAATCAGCCAACCAGCGTCTAACGGAAGGAAGCACGAGGAGAGTGAATGGCCCCTATAGTTACCCAAAAAAATGTTGTTTTAAGACTAGACTTGATCTGTCTCGGGTCAGAAAATGAATTGTTAGGGGTAGGGAATACCTAACATCCGAAAATTCAGTTTCTGATTCCATGCGTATGCTCGTGCCCGTTAGGAGTGGCGTTATCCCTAGCGCTATCCGCCCATTGACTTCTAAACACTGACTGACGAATACTGAACACATTTCTGTTCGAGTACAACTTCAATTGGGCCTACAAATCCTCCTAATTTGCATTTTGTCGACATCTCTGCTTTTTATGAATTTCCTCCTGGAGAATCTTCTCTTTATTGCGAGTGCTGCCTACTGGTTCACTTAGATAACCTTCTGTGTTTAATCTTACTAACGCTTAGATGTGAATTATTATCGCACGTGCATTAAATAAATAAAGTATCACTTTCTATCAACCCATCGGAGGTGATGTATTCTGAAAGCATTGCGAAGGGATTTGAAATAAGTTCCTTATATCGAGTAATGATGAGAAAAGTTTACTTGGAGCTCAAAACACTGACGCGCCATCATACTATAGCGGCTGGTTACTGCAAGTTATTGTATCAACGAATCCACCAAGCAACGATTTGCGATCTAAGTAGAGTGTGTGGCGCATCCCCAAGATGAATTTGTCAGCGTAATGCTTTGATATTGATGCTTCTATCCTTGATTAATGAACATCTTAAACTAATCTCGCATGAATAATTCACTTACTATTTTGATCTTCATAACACTCAACAGGCTTTTTTACTTGTTTATCAGGAGCATTGTGGTTATATTTTATAATTATTAATAGTAGTTTTGCATCAATAGTAGTGAATAAGAATGCGTGAACCAGGGGAATGCGGGCCAATTCAGGGGGTGGGGGTGTGTGAGCCACTTAACCTGTGGCAAAAGTTTGGGCCTTAGTGTCTGGTGTCTGGCCTTGTGAGGAGACGCAGAGGAGCAAAAGGATTAGTTGTCACAACCATGTTTGCGTGTGATGTTGAACCTATTGAATTTCTCGCTACGTTCATCTGGACTGTCTTTGCACTCTTCCAAGATGGGAGATAAAAGCCCAATGAGTATTTTGAACAAATGTCCTTTACCTGGCGATGCATGATAACTAAGTGAAAAAACCTACGATAAAGACAACCAAACTGATGTGGTCCATCTTCACATTCATTCAACTGGACACTTCACGCTTAAAAAATATGTATAAGTAGTTTAAAAAATCCACTCACTGGACAAGCGAGCTCCTTTCGTCTTCGCGATGACCACGACAATCCAGTCCTTTGTGAAAGCTGTTTTTTGAGCTTCTGAAGCTACTCGAGAAACGGAACCAAATAGTATAGCAAACAGTAGGTAAAGCTGAAATGTGCGCATCATATCATTCAAAGGGTTCCGCCTGATTTTAAAAGTTCCAGTAATAAGTTTCTATGATAGTTTCAGTTTCAGTAATAATTTTAGCAAGGTTGCAGCAAGGGTGGCAGAAAGAGAGGGGAGGAGGTACAGAACGAGCGTTCATACTATTATACAAGTGGTGACATGGGTCAAGAAGATCTATAGCTGCGCGTGGTCCGCACCGCGACAAAAGATTGTGCATCACGCAATGAATATTACAGTACGCCGAAGCAAGCTGGGTGAGCAAGCTGGTTGACAATCTGCAAAAAATCTCCTATGCTCCATCTCCGACCGACCACGCACTCCTCCAATTCCAAGAAGATATCAAGAAATCCTGTGCCAATGTGCATAGCTCAGTTGTTGTCAATCTTCATGCCGCGGAAAAAAGGATCTCTTCGCATCGTAGATTTCTCAAAGCGTTTTTCAAATAATAGGGGTGCCACGGCTCTCATATTGCCGACATTTTTTATGAACGCATAAGAAACTCTAAAAACTCGAAATTCTCACTCATTACCGTTTTCATCCAATTCGATGCTGGTCTATGTGTCTCCGAAAGATTGAAGAAAAATATCAGGGCTGAGAGTGATATTGCAACATTATTAACAAAGAGGACCGCTTGCATGCCTTAAAATAAACAAATATAGGAAAATGCAGCCACTTAAATTGTGAATGCATCATTTCTGAGACGTAATGTCATTGGAGCTCAAAATTTTCACCATATCTTCAGAACAAGCACAAACTTTCCTTTGCAACTTTATCATTTATCAAGCTTACCTAATTTCCTGCACACAAGGTTTTTGATTCGAAGTATTTATTTAATTCCCTTGACCCTTTAACACTCGATTTCACACTGAAGAAGTCTCGCCGTTGGGCCCTAGCCGGGAACTCCAGCAGTTCCAGCGCAGGCAGAGAGCCTACACACTGTTGAAGTCAGTATATGTGAGACTCGAACCAACGCTGAAACCGTGAGAAGAAGGTAGTCCCATCTCGTGGATTTAAGGCCGTTTCCCTTGGTTTGGCTTCATCTCAACGTCATTACCGGTCAATCAGTTTATGGTAGAAATCCGCCTTCATATAGTGGTACTGTTCCAAAACCTCATGGTGAGCTTGAAATGTTTAAGTTTTTCAACTTTTTCGGAATGGAATATTGAGCTCTATCGCAAGATGTCAGGGCATCTTCTAGAGCACTCTAGGAGGGTGCAGTAAGTCCGTGAAAATGAAACTTGCTCGCTACCCGAGTCGCAGCTTACTCGCCTAGGGCTTAGTCCAATTTTCGAGCAAAAGGAGATGTTTCGCGCGGTTTCAATTTACCGCCAATACAATGCCTAGCAATATCTTGCAATAGTGCCGAATATTGTGGCCTAAAACTGCTTATTCTGAACCTCTTGCATTCAGCACAGTACCCAGTAGTCAAAGAAATCGATAGTTACCTCGATTCCTGTTCGTTTTGTCGAGCATGGAACCCAGAACAGGAGTTAGGATCAATTTAGCTAGTGAATCAAGAAGCTGGTGAATTGCGATCCACGAGATGCCGCCGAGTTGATGTAGAAACAAACCAATAGCGAACATCCATAGTCTATCACCCTGCAATCATTGCTAACAGTTTTGATTTTCATTCTCAATGAAATTGTAGCTGCAAGCTATTTTTTTTGTAAGTATTGGAAGCTTGGGGCGCAAGCAGTGTGGTGGCGCCGCTTAGCACGCTCACACACAGAGGATCGAGTCCCGGATTGTAATCCCGTCTATGCCAACGAACTTCTATCCCTTCTATCCCTCTACGTCGCTTAACTAATACTAGACACGCTTGCAAGGAGAAAACTACTGAACTATACAAAAAATAATTGCAAGCAATTGTATGGGCCACTTCGCATTCACAAGCCATTACGACTCTGGATAGAACTAAAAAACGTGGCGCATTTCAAACAGGGATTGATCAAGGTCCAAGCTAAACGGTTACATCCATTTCAGCAGCATCCATTTCAGTAGCATTTTTACTAGGCTAAATTCCTTTGATCATCCTTCCCTACTTTTGGCCTTTCTTTCTCTGCTTTCTTTTCTTGAGTTATATTCTGGGAACTCAATCACATGATTAGTGCAGCTTTTCCTCTGTCTAGCGACCTGGAATTCCCTCCAATGTGTACCTAGCTTGCCGATTCCACGTGGGCGGCCGGTATACCCGTGTGTCGGAGTTTCGGCAAGTCCCTATGACCCCGTAGTGGCGAAGGGCATCACAGCCGGCTGATGCAGGTACTTGTTGCTGGGTCACAGTGTTGCTCTTCGAGGGAAGCTCGTCTATCCTTGGACTACACTAGTGGCAATCTAAGCATTTTTATTTCTCTACTTTCACGGATTGGTTCCCTAATCAGAGACTGCCTCCTGCTCATGATGCCTCTCATGTAATACTAGTGATTAAGTTATCATTAGCTACCCTCTCTTGCTAGCATGTTTTCTGGAGTCTTGCTTTTGGCCTATCCCAATATTATCCAACACTTATTTCTGAGTTGATCTTTGCGGTCTTTTTGTTTTTTGTTCTAGTTTTCCTTGTCGTTCTTTGCCCTCCTTCTTTTCCCGGCTTTGCTTTGTTAATTTATTACGCCCCTTTTGGGCTGGCATGTCGCTTAGACGTATGAAAATGAATAAATAAATAAATGTCATCATCATTCAGAGGGCACCCATAATGTAAGGAATATTGAAAAGGGTGTGTCAAAGAGTTGTAGTGGCATTGAAACTGTTTTGAAAATACTCCGAAAATTATCTTCCACAGTAAATCCAAGTTTGGAACCTCGGCATTTTTATTGTTGTTGTAGTTGTGTCTTTATTTCTGCCTCGCGGTTAGCAATATTGCTTGTCCGTAATATTAAAATTGCATAAGGACACCAGAGTAAGGTCATTCGCTACTAATGTACTGACTGTGTGTAGCACCCTGCTACACTTCGTGGTGGTAGAAGGTGAGCTTATCTTTTGAATTTTGGGTGTTTTTCCGAGCGTTCCTGACAGAACGTCAGAAACGCTAGAGCGGAGGAGGCGTTTGGTGAGATAGTGTGCAATTCGTAAGCTTTGAGCCGTTTTCAGGCCTTTCAAAGTGACGAGTTCATCGAAAAGTTAAATATCTATTATATAAGCACTGCACATACTGTACATATTTTATACATTCGCAATATTTCATGTTTATTATTGTTAAGTAGAATCGATATCATCGCATCACAGGGAGTAGGGTAACCGAAAGTGTGAAGAACCAGAATAAATATACCACACAACCTCGAGGCAGAAATTAAGAAACAACTACAACAACAACGAAAACCTTCCACAGTATTTACGCAGTTATGCCCCCTATAAATTCTTTCGTTCAATGTTAATGAGTTGTTGAGCTGCTATCTCCGTTGAACCGTTGAAAGTTCATAGACGACACGGCACTTATCAGAAAATGACCGAAAGAAAATCGGCTCATTATCTGTGAAGATACAAAAAAGCGGTCACGCGCTCAAAGAGCATCATGAGAAAAATCGATTAGAAAACTTTGCAAAAGAACGATGTAAAAAGGAACGCATTACACTACCATCGCAAGATTTTGAAAATTTCTCAAAATGGTTGAATTAACAGTGTGCTCAGGAACAGGATCAACCGTATTTTACGCAGTCTTCAACGGAGGGAGATAGTGTTTGAGTTTTTTGGAGCAGTCGTAATTGGGGTTTATGAGGGTCAAAAGGTAGAAAAGCGGGAGGGGCGTTTTTCTGGAATTCGAGGGGTCGTGGTTACGGGAGAGGGAGGATCAAGTATGAAGGATTTTTGACGATTTCGCCGGAAACACTGGGGGAGGCATACGAAATGCGGAAAGAAACAACATTTACCGTTTTTTAGCCGTATTCCCCACTACACCCTTCCTTCTGCAATTAGATTTACTGATACACTGTCTGAGATCGCTGGAATCGTAACTGCAGCGTCACTATCATGATTTACAACGTACAAAGGCGCTGTGGCTTTGGGCCTTATATATCGCACGCTCACAGGTGTGATATCTGCTGTGCTGCTATGCTCTCTTGTTCCTGAGTCTATCAGTTTCCCGCGGTCCAGTTTTTCACGAATTCTCACTCTCGTTAGCGCTCCCCCACCGTACAGAGAAAAAGAGTATTCTTGAAGATGTTTCAATGATTCTTCACTGATCCACTGCTGAGCTTTCTCAAGGCTTCGCATGTCATAACGCCCACAACTTCCTTGAATGAAGCTTCCTAACGGTATGACTTATTGACCTGTTTCCAGCTCACTGCATACCATGTCTAGAGGCAGTGGATATGATAGAGTTGATGTGCAGCAGAGAAGTGTGTGCACCAATATAAGGTAGCCCAGCGAAGAGAGGGGAGTCTTTTTTTGGCTAAAGGGTGCTAGTTGCAGTGCAACTAGGCTTCAATCCTAGAAACCGCCCCAGTTCAGGTACTGTGGTCTGCGGGACCCCCCAGGAGGCCTGTCGCGCGGCAAGGCAGAGTCGCGGACGAGTCGCAGCGCGTGATGATGTAGGACGTACAATGGAACATTCTATTTAACTTGACGCGAAATCCCTACAGTACGCGCGGAACTCGTCCGCTGACTCGCCTTCTTGTCGCGCGACGGGCCTCCTGGGGGTACCGGTTGTCTGCGAAACAGCTATCATTATTGTTAAACGTTCCATTTTGAGAGCGTTTTCTTTTATCAAATGGCCACTTCAAACTCGTAAAGTCGTCCAAAACCGGTGGAGAAAAGCATGTCTCATCTCACGGGTTTTTGACGGATTTCTCCTTTTCTTCTCGCCATTGGGGTAGCACTTAATACATCTTATTTCATATATCATAATTTGGAAGAGGATAGCTCAAGAAAAGTGCGGGCCGCAGTAGATTATATTCGAAGCGACTGAACAGGAAACATCAGGGCGTAATTTTGACAGGGTGTCAGCGCTTCTTGGCACCATTTTGGTGCAACAACTTTCTTCACCAATATTCGTTAGCCTCTCAGTCATGCATCGCGGAAAATAGAACCAAAACCCTTGCTTCGGCGTGCCCCCAAAACCTTATCCAATACACTAGCGCATCCCATCAAGCAAAACACACCAAATACTTCTGTGAAAATTCCACGCTTTTTTCAGCACTCGAACTTCTCTTTGCTTCCACCATAGAATTCAGAACTTTAATTTAATATGCAGTTAGAAGGGAAATGTTATTTAATCATTAAGTGATTGTATTGTTTGACTCTTGGAGTACTTAATGAGACATTTGCTGATTACGAAGTAGTGGAAAAGAAATGACCAGTGTTTCGCCAAAGAATTGCAGCTCAAAACTTGATTATGGAAATGAAGCGATTTTGAAGTGGCTAAACCTAAAACAAT